TTTTCACAGCCTAAGTAAGGACTCATGTCCTATTTAACAGTTTTACCAACTAAATCCTGCTGTCTGTACCTTAAATATGAATCTTATTTGCTTAAGTTTTCCCTAGATGATTCACACTATTCATGCACTTCTAATAATGATTTCTGCCTTCCAGTATGAATAAAGATTCTCATTCACTTTAATGGCATTTCTTAATAAATCCCAGTTTCTGCAGCCTAAATAAATTCTTCTCGCACTAACTGTGATTGCAATCATGGATTTCCCATTTTCATTGTGACCTCAATTGTATACTTTTTCTGTCCTTTAGACTGTTTGCTTAAAATTTTAAGTTGCCCCATTAATGCTTTAATTCTGATAATGTTTTGATCCTGATGATACAAACTCCATTTAAATGACATATAGGTCCTTGATTTCCTTTAACAAAGCCTTACCTTGTGGTGTTCACCCACTGTGGTGGAAATACTCACTCTGAACTGTAACTTCAATCTGTAAGTGCACTAATTTTTAAAAAAAAATTTCCTTTGTCCACCAGAATCTTTAACTTTATTCATCGAGCCTGATACTCATTCGTTCACCGTAGCTTGACAGGTCTGAAATGCTTTTTCCCTTGCTTGTAGATTCTGCATCATAGAATCTTGCCTTGAGTTTGCTGCAGGCTATCTGCCAAGTCATTGTTAAAGCTATAACAAGACATTTCTTCCAAGTTTGCTGGAATTGGTTCTGTACAGAGCTGAATTTTACCTTGCATTTCAGGATTCCCACTGCAGCACTAAGACTTCTGGTGGAAGCTATTTATGCTGCAATAGAATGTTGTTTAAAACTAAGCAGTCCTCCTTTCAAGACAAAAATGAGAAGAAAAGCCTTCTCTGTAAGGATTACTTGTATGCAATATTCTCTTCCCCAGAAAATAGAGTAGGCTGGATTTTTGAATTTATTTGATATTGAGTTGGATAGATTTTTGATACACCAGGGAGTCAAGGGTTATGGAAAGTAGGCAGGAAAGTCAAGTTGAGATGATGACCAGATCAATTATATCTTACTGAATACTAGAAAAAGCTCGAGGCACTAAATGGCCCACTCCTACTTCTAAGTCCTATGTTCATTTGAATCCACACGTCAGCTGGCACATAAACTGTCTTTGTACTGTGCCCTGCCATGGTTACAGCCCACTTGTTCCCACTGTCCTACCAAATACAGATCACACCTCCATATTTCCCTCTAAATTAGAAGCTGTGGCAGTATCTAAGCTGTGATTATGAAATTAACTGATAGTGCTTTCTTTATCGGAATCATAGAATGATGCTGCACAAAAGGAGGATAGTCAATTTATCATGCTGGCTTTTGAAGGAGTTACCTATTACTGCTATTTCCCTACCCTTTCCCCATAAATCTGCACATTTTTCTCCTTCAACTACTTATCAAGTTTCTTTTGAAGGTTTTAACTGAATCATCTCCCACCATGTTTTCAGATGCATAATTCCTAATTAGTGCCTTCGTTATTTGTGCATTCTCTAATCAGTTTTCATTTCTTGGTATCCAAAATGAGGTAAGGTTTTAGTGTAAGCTCAGAGGAAAGACAAGGGATGCATTCTTGCACCATCAGTAGCTTGTAAATCAGAACAGAGCATGGAATGAGGAAGGTAGACAGTAAGATGCAGAATTAAGTATGCAGACACTGTCATCTCTGATGCTGTTAGTGCCACCACTGGCAATGCCTCACCAATGGACTTCCCAATAATAGCCAGCACTGTCTCCACCATAGGGGTTATGATGTAAAGGTGCATCTCACCCCCTCGAGTGATGATCCACTATTTCTGGTTGTCGATCTGTCCTGCAAGAGAGAAGCATGTGTGAGACTTTTGCAATCTTTTTGGCTGATTGTCTTGATTAAACAGCTGGCAGTATGTGCAGCCAGTGAGATTTGGGTATGAGGCTTGCTGTATTGCTAAAAGTGTGATGGTGCAGTGTAGAAAAATCAGGAATGCATTGAGCAATGTATGAAGCTAACGGTATAATTGATGAGATATGACATTTGAAGCTACGTTCACTAACCTTGACTACTTGTATAACAACACTGTACTTGCAGCAGAACTGCATCTAGGGCCCTCTAGGCTACTGAAAAGATCTCGATGGATCTCGAAGGCTATCAGTTTTCACTGCTTTCCGACTGTGTCTGGAGGAACTCCTGTCCCCCTCTAGACATAGAACATCTCTTCTCCTCTGAACATCCTCGAGTAAGGCCTTCAGTGCAATGTCAGAAAAGCTTGAACTCATTCTCTCCCACTTTACGCTATTAGCTTCTTTTCCCCAGGTTAGATTCAGCTCAGAAATAACTCCCATCACCACTGCAGCCACAATATATCTGTCTTTTAAGAGATGATATTTAGCTTTAAGCAGTACTGACTAGCTTTAACTGGTGCTAGGCACTTATAATATTATTTCAATTCTTGATCATCCAGCCAGTCAGCACCATGATTTGGCAGCACAGTGGCTCAGTGGTTAGCACTGCTGCCTCACAGCGCCAGGCATCTGGGTTCAATTCCACCCTTGGGTGACTGTCTGTGTGGAGTTTGCGTATTCTCCCTGTGTCTGCGTGGGTTTCCTCCGGGTGCTCTGGTTTCCTCCCACAGTTGAAAGACGTGCATGCTAAGTGGATTGACCACGCTAAATTACCCGTAGTGTTCAGGGATGTGTAGATTAGGTGGGTTATTGCGGTCTGGGTGGGATGCTTTGAGGTTCGATGTGGACTTGTTGGGCCGAAGGGCCTGTTTCCACACTGTAGGGATTCTATGATTCTATGATGATTAGCACTGAATGGATATTACTACATTGTGTAAAACATGATGATGATAACTTTATCAGTGCTGATTTCAACTCTCAAATTTAATCAACTCTCCTTTCAATTAATGTTCTTCTCTCACCGTTATATGGTTCATCTTCCTGTCTTCCCCTCCCACGTTGGACTTCCCAGCTTCCATTTCCGATGATAAGCTATTAGGCAACATTCATTATAAGCTCATTGACTCCCACAGCCATCAGGACTGCATTTCCTCACAGCCTACATCCTTTAAGGACTCCATCCTATTCTCAGTTTATCTATTTCTGTCACATCTAAATGGATGATGCATTTTTCCAGACTAATGTATCCAATATGTCTTCCTTTATCCCCAAATTATGATTTCCCATTTCTGTGACCTTTCAGCATTTGATCTTGTTTCTTTCATTTTATGTACTTGTGTTGTCACACCCACCCCCCAACCCTGACTTCCCCACCTCCTAGATCCATCAAAAGGCTTCCTTCATTCTCATCTTCTACCCCAACAGCCCCCATAAGCCTGCATAATCAGATGGTCGTGTAGTAGGGGTAATCTCATTAGAGTGGTATTTCAGAGCATCTGGGCACAGGTTTGAATTCCATCGTGGCAGATGATGAAATTTGAATTTAATAAAATCTAGCATTAAAACTCAGTCTAATGGGGACCATGTAACCATTGTTATAAAACCTCACTGGGTTCACTGATGTCCTTCAAAGAAGGAAATGCGCTGTCCTTACCTGGTCTGGTCTACATGTGACTCCAGCTCTGCAACAATGTATTTTATTCTTAACTGTTTTTTTAAATGTCCCAGCAAGTCATTCAGTTCAAGGGATGGACAACAAATGACAGCCAGTCTTCTCAGTGACACCATCATTCATTCAAGAACAAAAAAAACTAATCATTGTCCACCACTTCCGTGACCTCTAGCTGCCATTCTATCATCAAAGACAACTGTTCCTTGCAGCATTCCAAAGTGGCCATTCCTGCCATAACATCATGGTCCACTCCTCAGTCAGTCCCTTTCCATGCTATTGCAGGAAATGCAACATCTGTCCTTTTATCTCCTTCCTTCCCACCATCAAGAGCTGTAAACTCTCCAAATGAGACAGCAATTTAGTAATACTCCTCTCCACTTTGTATACTGTGGTATGCCCCTCACAATGTGATCGGCACTACCTTGCAGAGACCAAATGCGAAATAAGTGAGTGCTTTATGGAACACGTGCTCAATCCATGAGCATGACTCTGAGGTTCAGGTTGCCTGTTGAATTATCTGCCTTACCCCCACACTGATCTCCATTGCCTGTTCCAGAGAAACTCAATACAAGCTCACAGAACCACACATCCTTCAATGTAACACTTTGGAGCTTTCTGACCTCAATACTTGCATGGATACTTTTGAATCATCACCTCAGCTCTCACTGTGTTTCACTCTGCTGTTTTATTTTTCTCTTATTCCTTTTCAACAGCAGCTATCCTGCCATGCACGTATCCTCTGGACACGATTTTGCTTCTTTCCTTGCACGACAAGACCATCTGTCAACCGTCAGTTCTGAGGAAGGGTCACCGGACCCGAAACGTTAACTCTGATTTCTCTTCACAGATGCTGCCAGACCTCCTGAGCTTTTCCAGCAATTTATTTTGATTTGTCATGCGATCCCTCCTGCCCCAATCACTGAGTCCACGTGAAAGGTCACAGAACCGAAACGTTAACTCTGTTTCTCTTTGCACAAATGTTGCCTGACTTGCTGAGTATTTCCAGCATTTACTGTTGTTTTTCAGAAGTACTTTGTTTTGGTCAATGCATTTTAAACTCTCTCTGAAACACTTTCCTGTATTGCACTGTAGGCATCTTTGACAGATTACAAAAATCTAACCTAATTTTAAAGCAGAATTTTGAGACACATAAACATTGCTGACAAAGTCCTACTTATCCAGCATTGCTAACGACCTGATGGTCTGGTAAATGCATAGATGCACATCATTTTGCCTCAACATGGCGCACACAATCGGACGGGTCAGTATTTGCAGCAGAGGTGATGCATTTCGTGGGAGGTGACTTCTGGAGTGCAGGGATGGTGCAGTGTCCCTGCCATTCTGATTGGCTGCTGAGCTCCGTCTCCCGGGAGACTGACGTCACCCGGCTGCGACCCCGCCCTGTTGTGGGGCACTGATCAGCTGGTGCAAGGCAATGGTATAAAAGCATGGACAGCATCATCCCACCACCTTTCCCCAGGCAGAAACAGCAGTGGAGAGTTCTTCACCGAGCCACGGTAAAGAAGACAAAAAGAACAGCAAGAGAATGAGAGAGATTGTTCACATCCAGGCTGGCCAATGTGGCAACCAGATCGGTGCCAAGGTAAATTCTAGTTAATATCGAAGTATTTATGTGGTTATGACAAAGGGCAGGACATTAAAGAATGTTAGCAAATCTGAAGAAAAATGAGTTTAAGTTGCATTATTTTGTAAAAAAAATAAACTCCATAATCTGTTATGGAGGTAATGTGGAATACTGTTTTGGTTCCAGTAAATAACGGCATTGTTCTATATATAAGCTTCTTTTGTTCCGTGTTAAATTTAATACTGCCAAATATTATTAGTTCTGTTTTTATTTTCCCTTTTCTTTCGTTTCATGTCTTAGCCTAGGGATTTTGGGTGATTTACAATTGCATTTTTCAGCTTGCCATTATCTTAGTTAGGGTTTCGTCGTTCTTTTGTTACATTGTGACATTTGCAGGTTTGTTCTGGAATCTGTGCCTGTGGGCTGCTTTCGGCAGAGACGTGGGCTCTGCAGACAGCCACGCCCGAGACTGCAGATACCAGCGGAGAAAGGGATTAGCTCTTCTGTGCCGCACCGTCCGAGGACAGCCCCAGCAAACCCTGGATCTGCAGGAAACCAGCAGCGTCGGGGTGGAGCCGTGATTTCAATCATGGGAAGACAAAGAGCCTTCTTTCAGAACTGTCATCGAAGTCATGTTAACAGTCCTATCTCTACCATGAATAACCTTGTAATGGGTCATTGTTATCTCTGCTTCCATTCACGTTGAGAACCTGTTAAAAGTTTTTTTTTCATTTAAAAAGGCTCAAAGCAAATACTTAACGATAGTATTCAGTAAAAGTGCACTAGAAGGGGTAATTTATAAATTGTTCCTCTTTATTGTTCTGTTGTGTAGCCACTTCGTCCATTTAAAGATTGACTACCCAACGAAGTAAATAACATTATAAATAGAAATCTCTCCTGATAGCAAATGAAACAAGTTTGATTAAAACATGGAATCAGAATAAACACAAAGGGAACTTGAAATCTGATTGCTGCAAAGGGTAATTCATGCGTTTAGGAAAAATCCTAACCCATTGGGTACATGATTAGAAGCTTTGTGCTTATTAATTACAATCTTGAAGGATTATTAAAAAGCTTGTTTAAATGTGGAACAGGCATTCTTGGCAAATTATAGTGAATAGCTAGATGCCAATTCATCCAAGGCAAAGACTGGTGACCTTGCAATATTTAAACAGTTAAAGATGGACTACTTGCCAGAATCAAAGCCACAAGGTCATTTAAGTCTAAATGTTCTTCTGGGGATACCTACCCAGTGCAGCACTCAGATGGGTTACATGAATGGGATCACAATGCCCAGGGATTTCAATGGTTGCCTGGAGGTGGCTTTTTCACTGATCTCTCCAAGAAGGATTTGGGCTTGAACATGGGTGTGGCTGCTTTTGATGCAACCAAGGAGACTGCTTTACTACAATTCAAGCATCCTACCTGAGAGTTATTTTCCATTCTTTGCAGCCAATATTGTGAGGAGTGGTTTCTTCTCGAGAGGGAGAAGAATGGGATCATTCCCAGTCAAAGTGGTCCAAACAAAGTCAGGATCTTACTAAACCTCAGATTGGATGAATAATTTAACTAACCAATGAAATTGGGTAGCTGTTGCTCATAAACCTCCATGTTAGACACTTGAGAACACAATTTAAGGAAAACAGTTCACTCAAATCTGTAACACCAGGCTGATTTTTTGCAGTTGCTGTTCTGACAGCATGTATGGATAGGCTATGATATGACAGTATAGTGTGGCACAGTGAATCAGTAAAAATCTCTCTTTTCTTCTATTAACATACATATCAAAGAACAATTACAACATTGAAAATCTGAATTAATAATAAAAGTGCAATCCACATCTCAAATAACAAAACAAATATCAGTCAGGGCTGAGATTTTGTTTGGACTCTGATGTATCTGTTGAGGTTACAAGTGCAACGTTTTGTTTTTGTGATCATGCATCAGTGTCAGGTACTCCCATATTGGTTACAGCTTTGGCTTACAATAGACTTAATGTCCTATTACTTTGGACCAACAATCAGCAGAGAAAATCTTTAGTGTGACATTTCACTTCCAAGATCAGGCATGCTAATAACTCCTGGGCATCTGGTCCAATTTGAATCATGTTGCAGGAAAGGGTTAAAGTTCGGCTTAGACCTACTAGAAACAGTATTTATATTAGCCCTACAACCGGCAGAAAGGAGAGACTTCATCTCAGTTTAGCTAGATCTGATCATTGATCAAAGTGAATGGGCAATATGCTTCTAATCATATCTTTAACTGTGTCACCCTTTTAGAAAGGATGTAATTAATATATGCTACTTATTGGCTAAATCATGTTTTAAATATGCACCTGGTAACTTTTAGAAACATTAAACATGAAACCATTACCCATTTTGAGACATATGGGTCTGAGATGGATAATAGAACTGGGAGGAGCCAAAATGTTAGATTGTATCTAATTTATTCACAAGTGCAAAGAGGAAGAAATTAAATCGGTACTGCGTCTGCCAGCTGGTGTTCAAATGTAGGTGAGCTTATGATGAGTGAGACAAAATGGAAATTCAAATTTATTGGACAGCTGAGGGCTCCTACTCAATTAACTATACCCCCAGGAGATGCAGAAGAACATTAAAGCTACTTTGTGCACTCAAGCAACCAAATTAATCTCTCAAAATTAGCTGGGGGTAAAATATACCATAAGTTAGTGTTGGCACTTTCAGTACCATGGTCAGCTGCCAAATGAAGCACATCTTGCAATGCAAATTTGAATGTATTGCAAAGAATGGTCCTTTTTTCTGAACAACTAAAATAATTTTACAGGTAAAATCTGTGTATTGCTGCAATGATTGTCTTTGAAGAAACAAAATGAACTTCACATGCTTTATTCATGAAAATCACCAAAATGCAATTCAATTGTAAATCGTGCTGTTAACAATGTATGTAACCATGCCCTCTTTTAGAGAGTGGGTCTTTAACTAATTCACATGCAGCTTTTAAAATGCAGTGATGAATTGTAATGAAATGATAATGTCTTTGCAGTAATGAGAATATAATGGTTTGTCGCATGACTGATTTCTTTAGAGGACAAACGTGTACCTTCACTGAAATTCAGATTTTTCTAAGTTGCATTTTTAAAAATTATTTCAGGAATGTATACAATACAACTTACTGTTAGGTATTTTACAGTTTTTCAATGAATTATGCTTAAGAAAGATATTCAGTTTACAAAGAATGTCATAGCTGAAGACTTTTTTCTCTAGTCCTTTAGTACAATTTGTAACCTGGCATGTCACTAAATGCAATAGTAGATAAAAAGTCATCGTTCACTAAAAATATTCTGTTTAATTTTGAATACAAAGAATATATAAATCATAGTGTAAAGCAACATGTAATTAGTTCTGCTTGCTGTCCCTACCCCTACTGTTTTTCATGTTAAGATAATTACTGCCTGTCAGCAGACAGTTTATTCAGGCTATCATTACGACAGAGACAAAGAACAACTTGGACATTTTTTAACAGATTTTTTTCCTCTTGAATCTTTGGGAATTAGATAGAGTTTAGATTGTCGACAAAGGGGAATTGATTTTGAGTATTGTTGAAAAAGATAAATATTTATTGAAGCCTTTGTCTTGCACTCATCAGAATAATTTAAGAAATATCAGAGTAAAGTGAAAGCAACATTTCAACTGTATAGATGTTGAAGTGTATGAATCCTTTTGGATCTCAGCTAAGGCAAAGTAAAAACATTTTTTAGCAGACCTGACTACATTTAAATAGACTTGAATAAGGATGTGGGAATAGAAGTGAATAAAAGCGATTAGATCTCTCTCGTATATTTGGTTGGGTTGAAGCCAAGAATTGGCCTGCATCCATCATTTTGTCACATTATTGTAATTACCCACACACCAAGATTCATACATTGATTGAAGCAGCTATTGCCTGTTAGTTTCCCAAAAGAAACATAACATTTAGCTTATTAATTAATCTGCTGCCTGGATGGGTATCTTATACTTCTTGATCTTCCTCTGCTCTTTTCAGTTTTGGGAGGTCATTAGTGATGAGCATGGAATTGACCCCAGCGGAAACTATGTGGGTGACTCAGACTTGCAGGTGGAGAGAATTAGTGTCTACTACAATGAAGCATCTTGTAAGTAGTGCAGTATTACTTAACATCAATGCTCACTATGTACTGTCAAGCAAAAACTGCATTTCAGAATGAGGTGCGTTAATAAAGCTAAATAGATTTTTACTGAAATTGTGATGGCGGGGGTGGAAGCTATAAATTATGTATTATTCCAGGGCAACGTACAGTTGTAGGCAAAGCCAACATTTAATCTAAATGCTTAATGTTGTTATTTCATGTATTTTGTGAGTTGGAATTCAGCTATATGAATATTTAAAGTACAGGGTAAACACATACAGATTCTATTTGAAAGTTAACTTTTTTCCTTTCGAAAATCTTCAATTGTTTGAAGCAGAAACTTGACATTACTAATTGCTACTCTTGGATCTGCTGCTATTAACTGTCTCTAATGTTGTATTAGACATCCAACACAGTTTCTCAATAATAAAAAAGTCTCAATTGTGGCATTGAGAGTAGTTGAACTCCTGAGATATCACACTCTTGGAATGGGGATAAAGCTTTGCCAAAGCAGGAAATCATCTTGTGAGGTCATCACACAGATGATGCCTGGGCGATGTGGGTGAAAGCTTGTGATTTTAGGAATGAATACATTTGAAATAACTCCTTAGTTGTACCAAATTTCCTTTCCACAAATAAAAAGCAGATAAACTGACTATTGTGATTTTGTTCTCTTTGCAGCTCTTAAATATGTACCCAGAGCCATTTTAGTGGATCTGGAACCAGGCACAATGGACAGCGTCCGATCAGGACCTTTTGGACATCTTTTCAGACCAGACAATTTTATCTTTGGTATGTAGAAATCAACCCCAAAACAGAAAAAAAATGAAAATTATTGACTAAAACTAATAATTTCCAAAAATGACTAACCATGAATGAATTGGATTGCTCATGTCATGATAGAAATCGGCTATTGGTCACCTGCATCCCAGGTGGAAAACTGGGGCAACAATGCTCATTTCTTTGCCCAGCATCTCAGGGACATCTGAGATGTTCAGTAGTCTCTCTTGATCTGATTTTGAAGAATTCTCCGATAACTAGTGGCTCCCCACGTCCTCTACTTCACAAATAAATTCATTGTCTGAGGGATAAATCTTGGAGCTTTTCAAGTTAGGTGTTCAGAACCAACTTTTTTCCCCTTGAAGGGTAGGTGTAACAACTGCCAGCACTGACAGTTGTGATTGCTCCACACAACCACCCTCTTCTCCACCCAACACTTTCCCTAGTTCAAATGACCTGTGAACAGTTGATGCTGAGGCAAGTAAACAGAAATGCAGGTGCTGCAGTGGGTAAGATGCTTTTGATTGTATGCTAGGCATTTAGAACTGAACTGTAAATAGTTGGAAAAACTGTACTTCTACCCACCTTTTTAAAATTTGTTCATTGAATGTAAATGTTGCTGGCTAGACCGGCACTTATTGCACAGCCTTAATTGCCCAGAGGACAGTTAAGTGTCAACTACATTGCTGCGAGTCTGGCACCATGTAGACCAGACTGGGTAAAGATGACATATTTACTTCCCTAAAGGATGTTAGTGAACCAGATAAGTGTCAATTGTCATAGCAACCATACAGGTTGCTATTAGATCAGCTCAATTCCAGATTTTTGTTGAATTCAAATTCTACCATTTGTCATGGTGAGATTTGAACCCATGACCCCAGACATTAGCCTGGGGTTTCTGGATTATTAGTCTAATGACATTACCACTGTGACACCACCTATCCATCTATCTTTTCTCACTTTATAATTTCCAATGTATATGAAATGGAATTCAACTTTGTAACTTAACTTATTGTTGCAATTATGGTGTCTCTGAAGTAATGTTTTTATCTTGCCTGTGGCTAACTCAAATGTCACCATTTCCTTTTTGTTTGAGCATTACCCCATTGTCTTCCCCACTGTGGCCACACCCTCACCCATCACCCTTTTGAGTGCATAGAATAGAATCCTTACAGTGTAGAAACAG